CAAATAGAGTATCGGAGGTCACACTGAATTTGCCCTTCTAGTACGATCTTTAGTACGATCTTCCGGGGATCAAACTCGGGTCATTGTGCTTGCAAGGCAGGTGGCAGAACCCCTGAGCTAAATCTCCAGCCCGAATTGGCCCTTCTAGACGTTCCACCTCCTTGAGCCTGTGATCTTTGCCTTATTCATTTGTCTCTCACAATATCCAGCTCAGAGCCTCGAGGGCAAAGAGATGCGAAAGGCCTAAAACCATCCCCTCTAAATAGCCCAGTTAGTCTTTGCTTTATCTTATCACATAAAACGAGATACTGAAAGACACTATGTATTCCTTCTTTAGAAACCCTTCTGAAACAGAGCTCCTAAAAAGTAGCCCTTTGCCTGGCAATCAAAAGGAGGCAAGATATTAAAGAATATGAGGGCCAGGGATTTAGCTCAGCGGTTGGGTTGCCTGCCTTGCAAGCGCAAGGACCCGAGTTCGATCCCTGGTACCAAAAAAAATTTTAAAAAAAAAGAATTTGCATTCATGCTTATTCTAATTCACTTTAATAAACACCATCCGACACATTCTCCCAGCCACTTAACTGTAAGACGACGTCAGAGAGAACTAGTTTCCCACTCTCACAATGACCTGTGAGTTCCCCTCACATCAGAGCAGAGGTACTGCAAAATGATTTCTGAAGATCCAATGCCATCGTCTAGGATTTTTTTCTTCAGTTTGAGAACATCTATGCCACTCTACACACAACCAGTCATTCTCCTCCCCACACCACCCCCAAACCCTACTAAAACATAATTGTTTTCAGCAAGAAGATAAAAGAATTCTTTTCTAATTCAATTCTTTGCATTATATAAAGACAGCAGTGACAAAGACAACTCTCAAACTTTAGCTAACCTCAAAATAAACCCTGTCGGGCTTTGCAATCGGTACTGGGAGAATGCTTTCCGCTAAGTGAGTTTTCTACTGAAATTTATCAGCACTGTTAATAAGTCAGCCTTCAAGCGAAGGTTTTGACTCCCCAAGCATACATCAATCTATAGCCAAAGGATGGTGAAATATTAACACAGAAATAAATGAAAGAATGATAACTTACTTTTTACACTTTATGCTTCCTCTTTTTATACGTTTTAGGAACGTGCTTTCCCATGCATTGTAACATAGTTTGTGTAATCTTTCCGTTTCCAAACAAGGAAACTGAGACATGAGGGTTACATCCATCCTGAGGTACTGCCTCAAAATATTTCCATTCACTCACTGATAAAAAGAGGCAATAATAGCGCCTACCTTACATGGTGAAAGTGAGGCTGAAATGAGTTAATCCATAAAGTGCTGGCTCCTAATCTTCTGTCCCCTACAGTCTTCTGCTTTTCCAAACATCCTAATCTACCTCTGCAGGTTAAAACCTGACAGTAACACACAAAGCATTTGATACACAGGGAAAAAGCCAAAGCTGTACCTTATCACATTAAGATGTGCAGACTTGGGTGGAGGATTTAGCTCAGTGGTGTCGTGCCTGCCTCACAAGCACAAGGTCCTGAGTTCAATCCCCAGTATCAAAAAAAAAAAAAAAAAACAGGAAAACAAAAAGATGCACAGACTCTCACACCTAATGAGAGCTCACCATATATCTATTACAGCCCTGGCACTTTATATATTTTAATCTATCCCATCCTCACTACAACCTTACAGTAGATGCTATTTTGAGGGGCATGGCCTTTGCACTGAGCTATACCCTCTGCCCACCTCTTTGAGACAAGGTAGTTCAGGCCAGCCTTGAACTCACTGTGTAACCCAGGCTGGCCTTGAACTACAGGCAGTCCTCCTGCCTCAGCGTCCCGAGTGCCAAGATTACAGTAGGTGCTATTTTTTCCCTTATTTTATCAGTGAGTAGCAGAGGTACTTTGAGGCATGAAGCTCAGTAGCTTGCTAGCTACCATCACAAATTAACCTTGAAAGATTAACTGCGCTGTGGTGAAAGAGTATAAAACCCCCAGCCTCTCTAGGCTTGTACTGTCCAATAAGGTAACTTCAAGCCCCGTACAGCAATGAGGACATGAAATATGGCTAGTGTGGCAAAGGAATAAATTTTTAATTTCATATAATTCTGACTAATTTGATTTTAGATTTAATATGAATATTGGATGAAACAGCAGTTTCAGTGACATTAAACATCAGTCAATAAGAAGCAGTGACCCTTGAGATGCAAGATACAGGAGAAATGAGCACTCTGCTTCCCACGCCAAGAGTTTCCAGGCTGACAGCCTCTTTTTTTCTTTTTCTTTTCTTTTCTTTTATTTTTTGGTACCGGTGTTCAAACTCAGGTCCTTATGCTTGCGAGACAGGTGTTTTATATTTATTTTATTTTATTTTATTTTTTGGTACTGGGGTTCAAACTCAGGTCCTTATGCTTGCGAGACAGGTGGTAGAACCACTGAGCTTAAATCCTCAGCCCTCCAACAGCCTCTCTGAGTTGAAAGATGAAGCCAAGCCCTGGGGAGATGACAGCACCCAGATTTCAGAGGACAGAACGTATGAGAGGAGGCAGCAGCACAGAAAGAGAAATACGGGCCATCCTTAATACCTGTACTCAGCCGAGTACTGATCAGGGCATGTATGTGAAAAAAAATTACCCACAGAAAGGAGAATCCCCAACAGTGAGTGCCCAGCAAATACGCAGCACCAAGAGCAATAGCTATGCCTAACGGTCAAACGCAAATCCCATGATTCCTAAGGGAGCAGTGGGAAATAATTGGGTAAACTCTGCTGTTTGCACAAGCGCTTCTCTGGGCCTATCCAACAGACCCTCGAAGTAGAGTCGCAGAGGACTGACATGTTTCCCAGTCCCTGCACTGTGTCGTAGACCAACATTTGATGAAAATGCTGAGATTCCTTTATTGGCTTAAAAAAGAAAAAGGTAAGTCTCTCCTTCTTCCTAAAAGAAAAGAACTTTGTAGCTCACAGTGTACAAACCTCAAAAGACCTAGGGGTGAAGGAATTCAGGCCAAAACTGTACGCCTGGTATGATCCTGGGTAGACAAAAACAGTCGAAAGGCTAAAGGCAACCAGAGTGACAGGAAAAAGGCTGGCAATTCCTGGAGATCGGGAGGCCAATCCGCAGCTGGGAGGGGTAGCTGGGAGGAATGAGGAATAAAGTCTTTTGTGATGATTTTGATTACGGTGATGGTGTCTCAGGTGTGTTGATGTGTCAAAATTACCGTAATACACACTTCGAACATGTATGTTTTATTATTAGTCAGTTACACTTCACCACAGTTTTAATCTAGCATCTAATCGAGTCTATGTGGAATACTCCGGTGAAGCTGCTTTTTCAGCTTTTCTTCTACTAAAAGCTCAGTCCCTATTAGTCGTGATAGACAAAAGTGAGCATCGAAATTGAAGTGTTTCGAGGGTAAAATACAGAATAATTTTTTTGGTGTCCTGCATTTGTTACAAAATTTTGTATTTTGTTAAAAACGTAAAGTGATCCCTTTCACAATATACTTCTATTGGATAGTACTGCACCGGAAACCAAGATTGAATTAGAGCATTCTGGAAACGTTATAGTGTTCGTGTTTCTACTAAAAGTGCTGCCATTGAAGGCTTAGAAGGACATTAGAGACATGTTGTTGGAGGCCAGTAAACAGAGGATCCCTATCCACACCTGTGAAATGAATAATAAAGTAGGCACAAGCCTCTTGCACGTAGTCCGGACAATGAAAATGTTTAATTCACTTCAAACTTTTCATGAACCCTGTACGACATACTGACAGCTGGCTCTGAGGAGCTAGGAGCACAGATTCCTGGGACCTAAAGACCAAGCAAGTTTCCAGAGCGGCCTTGCTCGGACTGAGGATGGCAGGGACTCCAGCAGTGACTACGCAGACCTTGTCCAGTGCACAAAGAAAAAGTAATGCATTCTGTATTCCCTTTACCATACCCAGCTTCAAAATTTCACAAACTCTCCAGTAAACAGAAAGTAACATATCTGTACTCTGGTTATGTATCTGTAGATCTGCTATGCGTCACTACCGAGCCCTGAGTGATCTACCCGGTCAATACATAAATCTCACTTCACACTGTTGATTCAGTCATTCTCAAAGAATCCTTTCGTTATCATCTTAAAAGGTTGTGTTAAAAGAACCCTGCCAGGGATTTTCACAGAGAAATAGCCGGGCTGCCTTATTATGGGTGTCCTTTCTCTAATGCCACCACTTCTCCAATTACATCAGACCTGCCGTATTACTCTTATTTCTCAGGCTGTATATCCCCCTCGTTGTATGTAGGGCCAACTTAATTCATCAGTGACTTGCGGAATGACAAGAGAGCAGGGGCTGCATCTTATTTACTCTTCCTGGTGACCTTACTCAGAGCGCACCGCCTGATACATGAAAGGAATCCCAAAGTGGGAGCTAGTACTTATCAAGCGTTTACTGTGTATCAAGCACTGGTGTAACTGCTTTTATAGGCGAATAATAACTGCTTCCATAGGCTTTTTTAATCCTTGTAACCGCCGCATGAGGTAGCCTTTGCAAGGATCTATTATTTTAGGTGAGGACATTGAGGCACCCAAAGTCTCAAAGCCACAGTAGGACTAACGTTGACCTCAAGCAGTGAAATTCCAGAGCCCATCCTTTCAAGAACCTCAGTGTACTACCTTTAAAAATGCCTGATGAATGATTTCATGGATTGGAATCAAGTTTATAGTGGGCAGCCCCAGGAAAGCTGCACCCCAAAAAGAAGACACTCTGTGTTCAGGGTCCACCAGGTAGATGATAATAGCTGGAGAAATAACCTGTAAAAATAACACGGTGGGCCAACAGTTCTTGCAGACTCATTACCCTGTAAATCTCCACCACAATCCCCAGGGAACCATTTTATTACCAAACGAAAGGTTTTGCCACTATGCCCCCTAAAAGTGATCCCCAGACACACCAGACAGACACTCCCAGCCCAACTCACCTCCCCATTCTCTGCCCTCATGCAATGGAAGAAGTCCCTTTACCTTGGAATAAAAATGCTTTACTGCCATTGTGCAGTCCGGACACCTGGGTGACTCCGAGGGTGGTGTTGACCAGGTCGAGTTCGGTGATAATATCCATCTGAAGGTCCGGGTCCAGCCCAAAGCCCACCGCTGGAAAGGAACAGAGAGACGTTGGGCATAATAGGGAGAATGCTAGCAGCAGTACAGGACAGAGGTCACCGGGGCCAGGAGGGCTGGGGATACAGGAAACCAATGCACAGGGCTGGGAGACGCCTTGGAGAGCAAGAGGAAACAGCTCTGCCCTGTCACCCCTCTGAGAGCACAGTTTCTTTGTACCTTTCCCCAGCCGCACCCCCCATTACTCAGATAACTCTCTCCCCAAAGTCCTAGGGCCAAATGCACTTCAGAATTCAAAATGTTTTGCCTCACAAGCGCAAGGGCCAGAGTTTGATCCCCAGTACAGAAAAAAATAAATAAATAAAAGAACTGCAAAAGAATTCAAAATGTTCGAAAGGTAAGGTAGCCCTCTCTGCTATATTTTAGGCAATGCCCTCAGCAAAGTCTGAATCAGCACCCCATTATCAAATTCTACAGTATTTCTGGACTGAGGACTATGATGTTTTCTTCTAATTGGCATGAAGAATATAAACAGCCCCGTATCAACTGAGGTCAAGTTTTGCTACCAAGTGAGTTCAAAGCTGGATAGGCTTTGCTGTCTGGTGAGTTGTAAAGAAATCTCGTGACTCTGAAATTTTTTGATTTGGGAACTACAGATAGAGGATTATGGCTCTGATCCACCTGCCTTACAGGCAGCTGCAATGGCAAAATCTAGCACCAACACCACCAGCAAACCCCTACACAGAGCACGTCAATGAACTGAGTACAACCACCTTTCATAAAGAGGAAGCGCAGAAGGACCCTGGCCCTAGTAGGAAGGAACAGTGAAGGGGTTGGCCAGAAAGGAGAATCCCAAATGTATATATCTACCCAAGGGGATTCCTGATGGACAGTTGCATCTTAAAGACGCTGGTCTCCAAAGTCTACCTTAATACAAAGAAACACAGCGCTGGGTCTCCTACCTCCTTGTCTGAAAAAGGGAAATACCAAGGGTGTCTCTTACCCAGTCGGTGTTCTGCAGAATGATTCATTCATGACTGCAAAGTGATTTCCAATTATATACGCTAATAAGGCTACAGATCACTCTGAGGGACTGTGTTTAAGCCATTCATAAAGGCTGCATCTATCTACACTTAGCATCTCAATAGTGCGATTCTGATTGCGCAGTTGGAAATGTTTTAATCAGCAACAGCTGTCAACTTTCGTCTGATGGCAATGCAGTCACTGAGGAGACTGGATTCAGAGAGCTTGCACCCAATTTGTCCCACAGAGACTGGGTGAATATTCATCAAGACAGCATGAGCTATCACAACCTCACCTGGCCTCCCCACCCACCCCTGCCCTGCCCTCTCCTTCCCTTTTCCTTCTATTGCTGTGCATTGGAGGTCTCTGTCAGCAGAAGGCTGGTCAGGAGGGGCTCTCTGGGGGTGAAACCTGTCACTGCCAGGGCAGAAAAAACAAAGTTAGACTGAAGGCATACTGCTTTTTCTATTTTTGCCAGGTATTCTCTTGTCTCCTAAACTGAGGGTCTAAATTTTCTCCTTTGGAGTACAGCCAGATATGGGGCCAGTTTACCCCAAGACAGCTGTTATTTTCACGGACTCCGCATTCTTCCATTTAATAAGTCTTTAACAGGTGTCACCAAGGGTGTGCTATGAACACATGTACGGCAGGGCCCTGGGGATGTTGTCACAGAGCCTCCACAGACAGCATGACCGCTGGCCTAATTCTTACGGGATAGCATTGGAGGTGTAGGTTCATATTTAAAGGAAAGGGGGAGTAGCAATGCTCTGGCTTACACTTTAAATAGGACCTAACGTTAAGTTTCTACCTGCTTGCTCTTGTTCACCCTACACACGTGCCCAGTTGAGAAGCAGCAGCTACTCTGTGCAGAGCAGAACCGAGCTACCTGGTTTTCTATCATCCCAACTGCAGCCCCACGGCTGCGTTGTTGAGTCGGGATGTTTTGCTGTAAGTGAGTTCAGGTGCTAGCAGTTCTGTGCTCTCCTTGAAAAGACAGGAGAGGAAGTAATATTTCAGTTTGATCTATAGTGCTCTACACCTGTATGGAAGAAATTAAATCAAGGGTGATCTCAAAGGACTCCCAAGCTGGTCTTTCTCTGGCCAGGGATTTTGAAAGTGGACTGGAGATTGTGCCCTTTTGTGGGACACAAAAGGAAGGAAGAGTCCCTCTGGCCCTGATGCTTTGTACAAGCCTTGACTTATTACAGGCTTTTAATTTAGAGCCTGATTAATTACCTGACTGTGGGTTCATGATCGCCACCTTGGGAGCAAAGACCTCAGAGCAATATGCATCTCTGGGAGCACCATCAGAAGACAGGGTGGTATCCAGGCTAAGGAAACCTTGTAAGGAGACCGTGGTTGGCTGAATTACTGGCCTCAACCCTTAATCCCTCCCATTCCCACAACCTGGGCTGTGCGGCTGTGAAGTTCTGCCCACTAGAGGGAGAGGAAACCTCCCCAGCACCTGACTTCGAGCTCAGCCATTTAATCAGGGTTGGCTATTGGGATTGTAGTAATCATTACACATGCAGAGGCCTAAGTGTGCTTGCACAGTGGGACTTATTTTCTTGCATTTCTCCATCACTATGAGAAGAACACGGCCCTGCAGCCCCACTGTTCCAAGAAAGCTAAGACACATAGTGCAGACACAGACTTTAACTTGGAACTAACTCCACCAAGCCTGGCTTAGGTAAGGCAACACCAGACCAATCTTCGATATGTGACTCCAAATAAATGACTGTTGTTTTAAGTCATTGCTATGTGACATTAACCTTGGCCATAACTGACACAAGGACTCGCTACAATGGTCTTCCTAAAGATATCTCCCAGACCACGGAGCCTGCAAATGGACCAGCCTAGAAGGCAGGCAAACAGATTCTGCAGAACCGCAGTGTCCAGCAGTACCCTGAGTCCCTGTCCTCAGATGAGAGCACAGCACCCTCAATCCAGAAGGTGCTGTGAACACTTGAGGCTGTGAAATTTAAAAAGCCACATTCAGTCCTGTCTCTTTCCTCTACAAATTATGGACCCTTTGAAAAATCACTTCTTGGAAAATATTACCTCTCCAGGCCTCTGTTTGCACATCTGTAAAAGAGAGGTGGTCATTCCCCTCGCAGACTCCCGGGGTCTGCTTTGCCTGCCTTTTACAATAGTCCTTCTTCCTCTTCCCCTCCATCTCCCTAGTCCTCAGCTCCATCCAAGTAAGGCAAAAGATTCAGATGCCCTTCCTCCCCGCCCACAACTGTTTCACTCCTTTTATGAAAACATCTCATAAAAACAGAATGAGGGACAAGAAATCAATTAGGCTTCTGGTACAGTTTTCTTCTCTCCCTTCAATGAGTCCCCTTCACGATGAAAATGCCCAGTGCCAACAGGAGGGTGTGTAAAGGACAGCACTCTGCACACCACCTAGGGAATCAGAAAACCTATTAATAAGGCAGCATTTCCATGGCCTCTCCTGAACCTTACGTAGGGTCAGAGTGTGACTTCCATTAATATTTTTAGTTTAATGTTTCTGTTTCTTCTCCAAGCATGGAGTTCCTGCCCTTTTCTGGGAGACTCTATTATCAAGTTTTCTACTCTTGACATAGCAGCCCTGCAAACGGCTGAAGCTGGGAATTAGAATTAAGCAGGATAAAATGATCCCTGGGAGGAGATTTTTTAAAAATCTGGAAGGCAGCATTTCAGTATCATGGAGGAACTTGGGGTCTGACCTGGGACCCACAGAGCTGACCTTAGCCATGGACCTGCTGCTGCTGCTGCTGATGCTGGCCCCTCTGCAGCCCTACCCAGGGTGTGTTTGAACCCAGAGCCCACTCATCCACTTTGATGCGCAGGACCTAGGCCCCCAAGCAAATTCCCTTGCATCTGGCTCAATTCAAATCGAACCCAGCTTCCTGCCCATGATGGCAGCTGTTTCGGTGGCCCAGGCAGAGTAAAATGATCTCGGAAAGATGCTGTAAGACCTCATTTAACAAAGCAGGGTTTCACAATCACTTGATCAGTTCTGAACACCCCAGCAGTGATTTTCCTGAAGAAACTGCTCTATGTTTGTTTCAAGTTAGCCAATATTTGACACCGCTGAAGGCCGGAGGCTCATTTTTCACAGCTCTATTCAATTCATAATTAATAAACCACCTGGGAATCGCTCTCAAAAGAAAAATCTCTCCCGTCCAGCAGGTGGCAGCAAACGGCATTCCCGGGGCACGCAGGATACAGGTACGGTTCTCCTTTCACTCCCTACCCTGGTGACCAAAGCAAACCAGAAAGCCAGGGGAGAATAAATCAGTGTTCACTCGACGCACTTCCAAGCCATGCGAGAAAATTCATGAGCGTGGCCGTTACTGTAGCCTCCCAAGTTTTCAATACTAGTGAGGGGTCTGGTAGTCTCAGGTTATATTTTATCCAGAAACAAGAACAAAAACTGGAAAATGGCATTTCCTTTCTTGACTCCACTGTACACTCTAAAACAAGTTTTCTGAGCAAGAACAGTGTACTCAGCTTCCTTAAGACACCTATCATTAGATCTTTTCATATGTAACCGTTTCTGCACTGCAGTCTTGCTTTAATTAAAATGTGCCTGATATCATCTATTCGTTTCCATTAAAAGGCAGTAATATCCGAGTGGCTCACTAAGTGAAGCACATGTTTATTTCATCTAGGACTGTTAACAGCCCGTATAACAATTGTCTCACTTGACAAATAAACTTTGCAAGCAGCTGCTGGGATCCTGACTCACCAGCCAGCCTTTGCTACCTACAGAAGTGGATGGGTGTGAGACGTGGAAAGCCAAGAGGCTATCCCAAGAAAGCTACTTGCATATACAAGAAAAGGTGAGTGTGCAAAGGGAAGGCCATTCCCTCCTTGTCTCTGACTCTTCTGACAATTTTTGTAGAACAGATCTGTGGCCTCTGGTGTTCATGTAGCCAGGTACGAGGTGGCCCTAAAAAGTCAAGTTCCCCAGGCAACAGCCACAAGGATGGCTCAGACTGCTTTGCAGCCTTTTCCTGGACAGAGTACTCCCCATTTTATCCCCCAAAGCCCCACCATGACACAGGTCTCAAATGTCACTTCCCCTGACCCCCACCAGCTTTTCCCCCCTCTGAACTGCCTTCTGGAACACTTCTTATACCCCCACCCGCCCCACTGAGCTGCATAATAAAAGTGCTTTCCAGCTGCCATCTCCATTTTCTATGTTATTGGGTACCTAGCAAGACACTCAACTGTTTGTTGAATGAAAAATTAAATACATGAATGAATCTTCCCCTACAACCAATTTGTTACAAGATTGTAGTGGTCTTGGGGATAGAACGGAGAACCAGAAGGTGTTCTTAAAGGGTCCACAAGCAACATGCCCTGGAAAGACACACAGTCCACTCCTGGATGAAGGTACTTCTGGGCAACTTTTCAAAGGAGTAATGAGAACAAAGGTCTCCCACACGTGCGGTTAACATGTGCAAGTGAGGCTGTAAAACGGCCTTTGGGTTGCCTCCTCCCCACCTAGCTCATCCCTGTCCCCTCTTCCCTAGGGGGGGCATCAGCCTGAGATTCTCCCTACTCTGGGGTTCTCCAGGGTGGGTAGCCAGAGCCCTGGTCTTCCCTATCCTCCCCCTCCCCCTCCTC